GACAATTAGAAAAAAAAAGAATAAATGAAAGTTAAAACTTTAAAAAACTTCACTGGTGCTGCACAAAAGTAGAGGAACCCTGCAGAAAAGTATTGTGTTAAATAGATGAACTTCAACGCTTTTGTTTATATCTAATGTGACAGCTACACATACACGTCTTACACTTTGAAAATCAAAGTATAACCAGAATCAGTAATAATTCTGAGCCATGACAAATATGAAGAAATAACTTAAGTATTCAGCCAAGTTGAAGTCAAATGATTTTAGTCTTTGATTTGGTTTAAAACATGATGATACCTGAAGTGTTTTTCATTGTAAATCCAACGTGTTAAAAAGACTTTAGATATTACACCTCAGCTCTCAACCCGACTTTACAAGGAAAATGTACAAGGTGGCTGAAAGGAAAACATTCTGGGTAAAGTCTGGTTGAAAAATTCAGCTGTTTCTTTCACACATGCAGCTCACCCAGAACATTTCAGAACTGTCAGTTTTGATGAAATACCGTTTGGAAATTACTGTGCAGTAGCTATTAACTTTCAATTCTAGGATTATATACAGAACTGTATAACAGAGTACCAATGAGTATAAAAATGACTTACCTTGCTGGCCACGGGCAGAGCAATCTCAAACTTGGCCAGAAACTGGAAATACTGTTCCTCCGTCTTCTGAGTGAAGCCTGTTCCTACTAACAGCATCTGCATCAGACAGAGACATCATTTTAATGACATCAAAATGCAAGTCAAAATTTTACCCAAGATGCTGTCCCTGCAAAATAGAGACTTTCAGAGTGCCGAAAACATTGATATCCTATATCTGTGTAGCGAGTGAGGTTTGACAAAATTCTCATCCCTCTTTAACCAGTCAAATATAACACTTATATCAAAGTGCGACTTGAATACTTTTGGACCAGTAACAAATATTTTGTGTATCACCTTTAACATTTAAGATTTTCGGCGAAGTGTTTTCCCAGGATGTGTTTATTCTCTTCCTGATAATCAAAGTATCCACATGTCTAATTAAAGGATCAAGTGTGTGCTTTTTTTTTAAAGCCTGTCATTGTATATTCTGTTTTCGATGCACATTCATTAACACTTTAGCTGTGTGTGTTGTCGCCTGCAGGCTCGAGCTCCAAACTCTGCCGTGCTGGTGGTAGGACGCATTTAGATCTCATCGACACCAAGTTCGCACTGAGAGGCTGGCCACTCTAAGGCTTATATAGTGGCTCTGTGATCAATATAATACTCATATTTGCTGTGCAAAAGTTTAAAAAAGAAGGCAGGTTGGCAGTTGCAGCTTTAAATTACTAAATAGAAATGATAAATCTTGTTGCTGACAGTATCGCATCAAATAATATAAACTAAACTTCTTTGAAAAATGAAATCAGCAAAATAAGATCTTACGGTACTTAGATTAGTACAGTTAGTTAGAACAGTTACTTAGAACAGTTAGTACTTAGACTAGTTTGAGAATTTCTTTTACATGTTTTTTTACTTTACAAGAAGGAGGAGGGGTTTATAGCAGATCCTGCAGCCAGTCAGCAGGGGGAGCGCTTAATCTTTGGCTTCACTTCTAGGTGGAGTTTTTTCCGACCATCTTAATATACAGTCTATGGTCAGAATGCAGTATTCACTGGGAGACTATTGAGCCCAGTTTGCTCCAAGCTCGCCTGTCTCTGTTGGCTTCCCTTGCTCATTGTCTGCTATCTTACATGCTATATCTTTATGCAGTAAGAACATATAATTACAGATAAGACTGTGAGCTAATACAGCATATTGTTAGATGTTTCCTGGTATATTTCCCTTCTCAAACATGTTGAACCTCCTTCCCCTCTTAAAGATTAATGGTGAAAAGTGATTGTTCTGGTTCAGGTGATCTATTGTCAAACCTAGTTATTGATCGACAGAAAATTGGAGCCTCTGATTGACCAGACTGAAAAAACGATTGACAGTTACCCCAGCCACTCAAAGTCTTCAGTCTGCAGACACACAGTGCTCGTTTGAGCTGTAGCTTCCTAATGCTCACCCTGAGGTCTTCAGTTCGGATCACTCCGTTCCTTGCGATACATCGAGACGACTTGAGGTGCAGGATCCTCTCCAGGCACCCGACAGCCAAACAGGACACAGAAGTAGAGGTGCACAGACCATGGCTAGTGTCAGGAAATGCAGCAGGGTCCCTGTTTCTATTAGGAAGCTGATGGCTGGATGTGGTCACAAAAAGAGAGGAACCGTTAGCATGCAGTCAGTTCTTAAGATATGATCAGAGTGTTATCAGTGATTTAAAGATTCCATGATAGGTTACAGGTCAACTGAGCTAATTATGATAATAATAATAATAATTATAATAATAATAATAATAATAATAATAATTATAATAATATAATTATTATGATTATAATAATAACAATAATAACAACAATAATAATTATAATAATAATACTATTATAATTATTATTATTATAATACTATAATTATAATTATTATAATTATTATGTTTATAATAAAAATTATATTATAATTATAATAATGATTATTATAATTATAATAATTATAATTATAAAAATATAATAATAATTATTATTCTCTTCAGAGAGAAGTCCGAACAATTTAAGGGCGGCCCAGGGAAAAGAGAAAAGAATGGATAGTAACGGAAGAGAAGAGGTAAAAAGACGCAGACTATGAATCTACAAAACTGAAGATGGCACATAAAGTAAACATGTAACAGAACGAGGACTGAGTTTGTCAGGAGGCTTAAGACCTGCCTCTACTCAACCTCTTTGTCTGTTTCTAGATTGATCTAAAGTTAGAGTAAAGGTTAAGTAGAGTCTGTCATCGTTTGGCTTCATAACTTCAGAAACAAATGGGTGACGTCCAGGTTTTATATAGTCTACAATAACCTCAGTGTTGAGTCATGCAGGCCTCTCTAACTAATCTGCTGCTACCACATTGATAATGTGTTAAAATAAATGCCTGTGTCACTTTAAATGTTGCAGCTGAAAGAATTTCTGGGAAGTTATTCTCTCTATTTATGTTGTAAATGATCAATGAATATTTCCTCTGCGTACAGAGATAAGATATAAAGCACTGAAGGTCATCTCCTCAGCACTTAACTAGCTTAAATAATTTCATCCAATAACACACTTCCAACAAATCATTTTCACAAGTGTCTGCTGAACAAGTACCAGTTTGCAGGTCCTCGTAGTCTCTGATGTCACTTCCTGGGTTCTGTTCGATGATGCAGTCTAGCTGGACGTCAGTTAGGTACTGGACCTCTCCCTCAGCGTCTCTCCTCTTCTTCTCTGAAATCACGGCCTCCTGCAGGGTCAAGTAGCTCCGAGGGATCTGGGGGAGGGTAAAAATGAGTCTGTCTGGGACGCAGATGACCTAGTGGTTAGCTTGGCCCCATATACAGAGGTTATAGTCCTCCAAGGAGACCCTGCTTCACAGATTTCCTACAATCCTATCCAAATAAAGGCATGAAAGCGCAACATAAAAAAAATTGAGGAATCAGTCCGTGCTTATTAGCATAAGGAACCAGTTAAGATGAACTGATCAAGTCCCAGGAACTCCTGTAAAGGTTACTTGTTAAACGTGAGACAAAGATGTGTTAACTCGTGTTTTATTGACCTAAGAAAAGGATAATTACTCTGAGATCTGTTGAATCTTTCACGATAACAACAGTTTATTTACAGCAGGGGTTCTCAAATCTTTTCTGTCATGCCCCCTCTTGGAGGAGGAGCATTTTTCTTTCTTACCCACCTGAACAGAGTAATGACTAGAAGAGCCTTTTTAAATGAATGAAATAAACTTGTGTAAATAAATATAATAAATAAATCAATGTGTGCATATCATTTACAAACCATGCGCACATAATGGAATCGTGCTCACAGATTGCGTATTCCCTCCGCACAGATTTGCAGACAGTTTACTACCCCACCTCACCAGTCTGCCCCAAAGTTTACCACCCCACTCACCAGTCTGCCCCACAGTTTACCACCCCACTCACCAGTCTGCCCCAAAGTTTACCACCCCACTCACCAGTCTGCCCCAAAGTTTACCACCCCACTCACCAGTCTGCCACAAAGTTTACCACCCCACTCACCAGTCTGCCCCAAAGTTTACCACCCCACTCACCAGTCTGCCCCAAAGTTTACCACCCCACTCACCAGCTGCCCACAGTTTACCACCCCACTCACCAGTCTGCCCCAAAGTTTACCACCCCACTCACCAGTCTGCCCCACAGTTTACCACCCCACTCACCAGTCTGCCCCACAGTTTACCACCCCACTCACCAGTCTGCCCCACAGTTTACCACCCCACTCACCAGTCTGTCCCACAGTTTACCACCCCACTCACCAGTCTGTCCCACAGTTTACCACCCCACTCACCAGTCTGCCCCACAGTTTACCACCCCACTCACCAGTCTGCCCCACTCACCAGTCTGCCCCAAAGTTTACCACCCCACTCACCAGTCTGCCCAAAGTTACCACCCCACTCACCAGTCTGCCCCACTCACCAGTCTGCCCCAAAGTTTACCACCCCACTCACCAGTCTACCCCCAAGTTTACCACCCCACTCACCAGTCTGCCCCACTCACCAGTCTGCCCCACAGTTTACCACCCCACTCACCAGTCTGCCCCACTCACCATCCACCCCACAGTTTACCCCCACTCACCAGTCTGTCCCACAGTTTACTACCCCACTCACCAGTCTGCCCCACTCACCAGTCTGCCCCAAAGTTTACCAACCCACTCACCAGTCTGCCCCAAAGTTTACCACCCCACTCACCAGTCTGTCCCACAGTTTACCACCCCACTCACCAGTCTGTCCCACAGTTTACTACCCCACTCACCAGTCTGTCCCACAGTTTACCACCCCACTCACCAGTCTGCCCAAAGTTTACCACCCCACTCACCAGTCTGTCCACAGTTTACTACCCCACTCACCAGTCTGTCCACACGTTTACCACCCCACTCACCAGTCTGTCCCACAGTTTACTACCCCACTCACCAGTCTGTCCCACAGTTTACCACCCCACTCACCAGTCTGTCCCACAGTTTACCACCCCACTCACCAGTCTGTCCCACAGTTTACTACCCCACTCACCAGTCTGTCCCACAGTTTACCACCCCACTCACCAGTCTGTCCCACAGTTTACTACCCCACTCACCAGTCTGTCCCACAGTTTACCACCCCACTCACCAGTCTGTCCCACAGTTTACTACCCCACTCACCAGTCTGTCCCACAGTTTACCACCCCACTCACCAGTCTGTCCCACAGTTTACTACCCCACTCACCAGTCTGTCCCACAGTTTACTACCCCACTCACCAGTCTACCCCACTCACCAGTCTGCCCCACAGTTTACCACCCCACTCACCAGTCTACCCCACAGTTTACTGCCTCCAGCTGAGTTGCCGATGTCCTTCATGGAGAGCGCCACATGGTGGATGAGCTTCTTTAGAGCGTTTAAGCCCTCCAGGGTCTTACAGGACACTTCACTGAACACAGACACACACACACACACACGAACACTTTGTGAAGACTCTCAGATATTCTGTCACATATTCTTGTGATGCTGGCACAGTTTGTATGAAGCATACTAACAGTCTGCAGCATCTTAAGTAAACAGTAATATGTCACAGTGTTCTTACTGCAGGTGTTTCCAGGTGATATCAGGGAAACCTGAGGCCCGGGACCCTGATGGGGACCGACACAGAGCCAGTATATAAGCCCTTAGAGTGGCCAGCCTCTCAGTGCGAAACTTGGTGTCGATGAGATCTAAATGCGTCCCTACCACCAGCACGGCAGAGTTTGGAGCTCGAGCCTGCAGGCGACAACACACACAACTAAAGTCTTAATGAATGTGCATCGAAAACAGAATATACAATGACAGGCTTTAAAAAAAAAGCACACACTTGATCCTTTAATTGGACATGTGGATACTTTGATTATCAGTAAGAGAATAAAACACATCCTGGGAAAACACTTCGCCGAAAACTCTTAAATGTTAAAGGTGATACACAAAATATTTGTTACTGGTCCAAAAGTATTCAAGTCGCAATTTGATATAACTTCAATCAACCATGACAAAGGATGTAAAGGCTGAAAAACAATATTTCAAGAGAATTGCTCCTGCATTGCTAAGAGTTAAAATCTCTGTTTTTATCAGTGGAGCTTGGTGTGTTTGTAGAGAGTGATGTAACAGATGTTTGTGGTTAAAAAGTCATCTTCCTCTCTAACAAAAAGGCCTATTTCTGACACTTACAGCGTGTCCTAACAGCATGCACTTAGATATTGCTTTATTGCATTGCGTAGCATCGGACACTCAGTGTCCACACTGCATATTTTAAATATTCAATTCTCTGCTCTGTGAATTTGAGTTACCTCTTGTAAACACTAAGACATCTAGTGCTTTCATTTTTGGAGAAACTGATGTGTTGTAGTTTGTATTGACGAGCCTTTGACGGGGTGAGCCGAATTAACTTTTTTCTCGATGTTATCACAAGTCAAAGCACAACATTTCAGTCACAGATATACGTGTACATACTGTATATCTTAACTGGCTTATATCAACTTTGCCAAACGAGCCAACAAGCTCTGTCATGTGAGAAAGGTGAAAGAAAATCTAGAACGTTTTCCTGTCAGTCACTCCCAGCGCCTTGTCGAGCTCCCTCGTTCCTCGCTCATCGTCCATGTCTATGTGAGCAACAGAATGACAGAAACAGGGCGGGAACTCCAGTAGGGAAAAAAGGTAATCAAGTTGACTTTGTTGCTGAAGCTTGCTCGCGTCCATGCTGTTAGAATAACAATCTGAGCCTGTCAGAAAACAAACACTTTGATTGATTAAGGAATATGTTGCAGACATTACTGACTGTTTGAGTGCAGCATGCTGAAGCAATCTAGTCAAGCAATAAAACATGTCACCCTTTAATGTAGTTCACTAACCACAAACATCAGACAGTGAAACAAAAAAGATTGTTTGTAATGAGGCTTCAATGACAGATTTAAGGCGACTGATTCAAGTTGTTCCAACATGCCTCTACTCAATGACATCTAATTATCTGTTTTTGATTCATGTGGGCTGAGACTAATTATTTCCCCTTTAAATCAGGACAATCCTTCCTTCAACTGGAAACACAAAAACCAGCACTTTCTGCAGAATCAGCCCCTCCCTGCTGCAGTCACACACACCACCAGCTCTCAAGGGGTCAGCAGAAGTGTGTGTGTGTTAAAACTTCACCTCGATGTTGAGCAGCCATGTCTGCAGGTTGGCCACAGCCTCCTCTCCCAGAGCCAGTTCCAGACCACCAGGTAGAGGGCCTTATCAGTGAAGAAACACTGGTTCACTGTGGACATGCTGGCCTGACCACCAATGTCCCACACGTTAAACGCCACTGAGTCCTTCTGTGAGGAACAAAAACCAGAGCTGAGTCTTCTCTGAAGGAGGGCAGGGGAAAAAGAACATGAGGAAAAACGAGATGACACACAACATTAAAATGTCCTTAGTAGTCAGAATCAGAAATACTTTATTAATCCCAGAGGAAAATCTGATTTTTACAGCTGCTCCAAAATATACAATATAGCAGTAGAAATATAGTAATAAAAAAAAATCATTCTGCACAAAAAGTAATTACATTATGATTTAACAACATGCTCAAAACTCATGAACCTTTGCACTTTCATCAAAAGTTAAGATTTATTTTTTCTTTATTTTTAGAAAAATGCTCTGAACTGCTCTCCCAAGATTTGAAACATAGTAGCCCCCCCACAGCACACTTTAACTAGTTGTACAAAATTGACAAGCTTATACAGTAAACTATGTGAAGGCCACTAAAGAAGCAAATAAAAAAAACAGGTGAAGGCTGAAGCTTTAGCTGATTATACTTTCACTTTTTTACAGAACATACACTCGCCCCACTTTGTAGGGTTTTCATGAATCAGAGTCAGGACAGCAGAAGTGAATGAAAGGGAAAATACGTTTTTCTAAACGAGTCACCATCGTTTGCATTGTTTTGAACAAGAATCTGTACGTAGGATGTTTAAAGTTTTTTTGAAAGTAAACTAGGGTCCTCAAACATCTGCTGGAGGGTCACTGGTTAATTCACCACCAGTTGAAATGTGACATCAGATATCTTCATAGACGTTGTGATAAACTTAGCGTCTATACCTGAGATAAACTATATAAGAGAAAAAAACTCAAGACATGCAAATCTCTGGACACATACATTTTTTTAGTAATTTGTGGTAATCTCCAGGACATGAATACTGAGATTTGTTGGACACTATTTGTGTAACGCTCTGCCTAGCCAGCCAACAGGACGTAACACGCTGCTATACATCTGCTGTGTCCTTCAAAAAGGCGTCTTTGATGACGATATTCTATAGCAATGGAGGCATGTTTTTCCGAGTTCATATTTTGACATCCATTTTCCCTTTGTACCAGAGATCTGCATTCTTCTCCGCTTTCTCACAACTAACTTCCGCTGGTTTTAATGCAACCACAAAGCACGTGTAACTGCTGTGACGTTATCGTGACGTCAAATCTAAATTGGTCTATAATGACAGTGGGTTTGTCAGTGGGTTTTGTCTGGGGGTTCGTTGGTAAGTGGGGAGATCTAAGCCAACTCTGGTTTGTGTGATCAGCCGCCCTTTATTTTCTTTCTGACAGTCGCCTGGAGCTGCTGACGAGTAGAGGCTAAAATTAACGCCAGGAACTATTAAGTCAGAAATCAA